TCACTCCACAGTGTTCAAACGGTTCCAAATCGGGTCCTGATTAGCCTCCGAAAGTTTAAAATTATTTGATAAGAAACTGACTTGGCACAAACCATTTGAAGTTTATATGGAAATTACTATGGGAAAACAAAACTTTTTGTTCATCGTTTTCTAGCCTTTTTACATATGGTACTGTTAACAAATTCTATTACTATTTTTATGGGAATTTTTATCAGTTACAACTTTGCAGAAAATCGTTTTTCAGCCAAACGTCAAATTAAATAGTTATTAATTGTTTAAGAGATTGACAATCTTATGGTAAGATTAAGCAACTGTATTGTGGGCAACACTGTATTCTGCAGTGTGACATAGTAGCCATGATTTTTGTCCTCTATTCTACGCGCCATAAACACCAATGTTGCCTGCTGAACAGTTGATTGAGCATAATCATAAGACATCAGTGACATGAATCATTAATAATTTTTGTTCCTTAAATTTGATCGAAAAGTGGTCTTCAACAAAGTTGTAGCTGAGAAAAATTTTAACAAGCTCAGCTATAATTTTCTAAAGTAGAGTAAACTGGTGAATTTTGAGATAGATATGAACTGAAATTATGGTTTCTCCATAGTAATTCCCATATAAACTTCAAATGGTTTGTGCCAAGTCAGTTTCTAACTAAATGAGTTCAAATTTTGGGAGGCTAATCAAGGCCCAAGTTGGAACTGTTTGAGCACTGTGGAGCGAAAATTTCAAATTTTGCATCAGTCTACCCTCCATGCAGCAGAGTGTTGCAAATTTTACACCAGAAATTTTCAATACAAACTTGTTCCCAGAAAATTTCATTTGACCAGAACGATACAAATTTTCCATCGTTAATGTTTAATAAAAATTGCTTCTCCAATCTTCTGATTGGTGCAGATTTCCTTTTTTCATTTTCCACTAGTAATTTTCAATATAGCTTGGTTCTCCTATCATCAGAATGTTGCAGGTTTTCCACCAAATAAAGCTTGCCCCTATTTTCAGTAAAGCAGCTTCCCTTCAATCATCAGTGCAAATCAATGGTGCAAATTAAACACCAGAAATTGTTATTAAAGTATGTTTCTCTATTCAGCAGAAGGATGCAAATTTAAGACCAAAAATTTTCCGAAAAGCTTGCCCATCCGTTCATTGTTGTGCGGCAGATTATCCACCAGATATTTTCAATTTAGCTTAATTTTAAATAAAGCTTGTGCCTTCATTTACCAGACCAGTGCAAGATTTCCACCAGAAATTTTCTGTTCATTTCATTTATCAGAGCGATGCAAATTTTGCACCTGAATGTTTCAATAAATCATGCTCCTCCATTCATCAGAACGGTGCACCGAAAATTGTCAGTGAAGTTTGTTTCACCATGCACCTTTGTGGGTCAATTTTCAGGCTTTACCTTTTCATGCACCATAATGGTGCAAATTTTCCACCATAAATTTTCAATAAAGCTTACATTCATCAGAACGATGCAAATTATGCACCAGAAAAATGAATAAACCTTGCTTCTACATTCACATGTTGCGAACTTTGTACCAGAAATTTTCAGTTAAATGTGCAGTTGCAGATTTTTAGCGTGATTCAATTAATTCATTACGATTAGTCATTCATTTTGATTAGTCCCTCCATGTTATTCAGTTTGACTAGTCCCTCCATGCACCACCTTGATGATATTGTTACAACAGAAATATTCAATAAAACGCTTTTTCTTTGATTTACCACCTCGAAGTTTAATTTTTTTTAACCTTAAATTTGCCCTCTTGTTTTAACCCTCCATTAGCCACCTTGAAAAAAAATTACACCAAAATTTTAATGTACCGGTGCGGTGCAATTTTTCGACCAAAAAAATTCATTCAAGTCTGTCCCTTCATGCACCTTTGTGGTGCAATTTTCAGGCACCATCTCAAAGGATTGACGCAATACAAGGTTTTCATTTACCTTCAAATCAAGTTCAGGTTATTTAACCTTCAAATCAAGTTATTTTATATCATAATTTTGTATATGTGAAAATATTTTTATTTTTAAAAGGGTGGGCAATCGCCCCACCTTGCCCCACCCTGTGCACGCCAGTGAGTAATATTAAAAAATTAGTTCAGGAAAATCTCCAAAAAGCCCATCAGGAAGGCCTTAAACGATATGATCTTCGTCATAGAGCGTATGGAAAAGCACTAGAAGTAGGTCAAATGGTTTATAGGCGCAATATGAAGCAGTCTAGTGCTATTGAAAACTACAATGCTAAATATGGGCCTCAATACCTACCAGCTAAAATAGTACGGAAAATTGGTTCATCGTCCTATGAAATCACAGATCTCGATGGTAAATCATTAGGTGTTTGGCCAGCCGTACATTTGAAACCCGGATAGAATTCACTTCATCAACTGATAAGCACCTACGGCGAAGGATCATCGCTCTCTGAAATCAGAACCCAACCCCAACTCGACCTATATCCTGTATCTCTCTAGGTCATTGACCTCAGCCGGTGCAGCCTGCAGAAAATAATAGAATTTGTCTGGTATACAATCGTTTCCTCTCCCAAACAACTCAATTGCAGCGATGAAACTGGAAGAAAGCGTAGATAGCCCCACGGCTTCGTAGCCACAAAATTCCAACGAGCAGCAATAATTCTTCCTCCAACTAAATAAGAATTTTCAAAGAAATTTGTTCGTTCTCCGATAACTCGATGCGTTGTTAGCCGTACCATAATAACTTTTCTGTTTGTTTCTGTTTCGGATTTCCTTTCACAGGTGTTCGAAACCGTGCGTTCACCTGCAAAAGTTTGACAGGTAGCTAAATGGCTCAAATCTCTAATTCGAAGATAGATATGCTATAATTATGCTTGTTTTATGGTACCCGAGGGACCAGCTGTTTTGACGAAAACAGCTTGGCCCTAGACTTAAAACAGACGAAAAACTGTTTCTTTCCACGAGAAAGATTAACTTTGTTTACATCCCTGTTTATTAATACCAAAACCAAGGTGATCATCGTTGAGGTAGTTATTTAGCCTCTTCGATCTTTTAGAAGACAGATGAAGTCTTCTAACATAGGAAATCTATGAAGATGGTACAAGTCTTCTAGGATAATTAAAGTAGATTAAAATAATAAGTTGAGTTAGGGTTAATAAAGAAATGATTGTGGAAAGCATGAGTGTTGAATGAATGTAATGAGAAGGGTACCCAATTGAATGAGAGTCTGAATGAGAGTGTGTTTGAGATAAGTGAATAAATATTGTTTATTAATAAGAAGAAAAGAGCTTCCATTATAAGCTGAATGAAACAAAACGAACAAGGAACTGCAGGAAATGAAACAACAAAATCAATGAATAACCGAGCAAAAGAAAAAAATAGAAGTTATAAGAGAGCATCTGGAATGCAGTTGGTATTTATAATAGAAACAAATCATTAAAACATAGGATCCGGAGAATTGTATACTCACAGAACTGATAGTTTGCGTGAAACATCGATCCATGACACGAAAAATTACCAACCTAGGCTAGTTTGGTAATTTTTTATGGGAGGTGGGATGATTGTTACCAACAACTTGGGAACAATAGTCTGGTTCAAGGCAAGGCACACAAGGAGATTAGTTGAGGTTAGGGTTAGGTCCTTTTTTTCATTAGTTTAGATTTGTTAGTATATATATATAGAAATAATTATTTGAATTCAATATTTTCCCTTGGCACATTTTCATTTGTAAATAAATTATACCTAACATAAATATAAACCGTTCAATTAGTTACCCAGCCCACTATATTAATGTTTGTAAATCTTTGCATGCAGATAACTGTGAATAAATAAATAAATAAATAAAAACAATAAAAATGTAAATAAAAAAACAAAAGACGGCAAAGTCCGCATTAATATTACCTAGTTTAAAATCTACTAACCCCTCGAAAACGGCTCACATCTTATCCGTTCGATTACATGTCATTTATGCATCTAAAATGTTGGCATCACGGATCACCGGAAAATTAGAAGAGGAGAGTAAGAAAGAGAGAGAGAAAGGAAGAAAAGGGAGAGAGAGGGGAGATGATGAAGGAGTTTTGCTAAAGCCGGCAGAAAGTGGTAGACCGTCCAAGAGTTTGGATCAAAAATATATAAAGAAAAACTAAGAACGGAAGATAAGTAGGAAAGTGGTTCAAGGATAGTGCTTGTCAACCTGAGGCCCAAAGGACATCATTGGGAGACCGAAGCCTGGGTTCAATTCCTCCAGCAGAGACCTCCGACGAGTGTTGGCCTTGGAGAAACCGTGTGGAAAGTGGTACCAAGGAGACCCCCCCCGGAGACTAAATACCCGCAAACGGAGACGGTGACAATAGTTCCCACGTGCGCTCTAACCACGATCCAGGAAAAAGTGAGTTGGGGATCGGCGAGTCCCGCGCTGGTGTCTAGCGAGTATCCGCCATTGCTACGACACACGCAACGGGCGAGCAGTAGCCAAAGCTGTGGCGGTGAGGGTCTGGTAAGGTCTGGCGGGTCCGCCCCCGCTTGCCAGTGCCCAAAATCCAATGTGCTACTGCCCCGTCTGCGAGCGCGTGGAACGTCGGTTATTCAAACCTTACTCTGTCGGAGCATCGAGAAGGTACGCCGAGCTACGGATCTACGCAACGACATCGGTAACCTAGCGGCGGAGTTCCCCCCATGGAGACCAGGATCATGGGTGCTGATTGGAGTAGCTGACCACCCTATCATCAGAGGTAACCAAACTACAAAATCCCTTTCTCTCTCTCCCTCTACGCATGGGCCCCACCGTTTCCTGATCGGCCGCAACGACCCCCCCTTATGATGTATCTTTTAAATTGAAAATTATATAATGAATAAGCTTATTTTCTGTGTTTGTGCCTTTTTTTTCTTGAGAGACTGTCTTGGTGTCCTGTATTGTTCCGCCTATTATTCTCATGTTGATTGGTTGTATGTGTGATGTCCTCCCGAAGCAAGTGAATGTAGCCGACCCTGAAAAGAAACCCATTAGCACTGAGCTAGCCGTAAATAACAAAATCCAGACAAAATGAAATTCTTCGCTGTTTTCGCTCTTATCGCCAGTGCCATCGCTGCCGTGAGTTGTGCACCACAGTTTGGATTCGGAACGTCCGGTGCAGGAGCCCAAGCTGCGTCCCAAGGAATGGGAATGGGAGGCTTTCCTGGCATGGGAGGCGGCATGAGTGCTTCCAACGCTAATGCTGGAGCCCAGAGCACGGGCATGGGAGGATTCCCCGGTATGGGCGGTGGCATGAGTGCTTCGAATGCTAACGCTGGTGCCCAAGGCATGGGCATGGGAGGTCCATTCGGCGGAATGGGATCATCGATGGCGAATGCAGGAGCCCAAGGAATGGGTCAAGGATTCGGTGGCTAAACCTTCGCTGGTTTGGCAGAGATTCCCAGGTGTTCAAATCAGCAATTTCTGCAAAGGCTACTCTAGTCATCGAATGGAGATGGTGTAGATGATAAAAAAGAAACTAATGTATACATACAGTCTAGAAATTATATTCAATTGTAACACATAAGTCTGAAAAAAAAAACATATTTTGCTTTAGAAAACGGTTGTCTAACTTGACGATAATTCTTCGAAAGTCAGAACGGCTATAACCTTAAATTGATACTTAGTTGTTTGTCCCTTATTTTGTAATGTTGGCTTCGATTCCCTGTCTGTTCGAAGATATTTTCGGGTTGGAAATGTTCAAGACTTCACTGGGCATATCGAGTAGGATTGTGCTTGCCAAACATTATTTGTATAATTGTAAACATGGTTGGATGTTCTCAATTAAAAACTGTAACCTGTGGTGTGTCTGTCTGTCTGAGATTAGTGAGATTGTCGCGATTAGTGTTTCGTATTTTATGTATAACAATATGCCAAGGAAAGGTTTGAATACAAGCTACCAACACCACCCATCGCCCACAAAATCACCCACTGGACAGTTCACAGCCACACCACTAAACGACAGGAAGATCCTCTACCTACCACCAGATGGTACTATTTACTGGATTTGGAGGCCATTAGGAGGTGGCATAATGGGGCCATGATGAGGCGAAATAGGGTGGAAGGACGATGCCTCATCGAGGAGGAAAGGAGGAAGGAGGAGAAAAGAATAGATCAGCCGCCATCGTTGAAAATTATTTGATTGGCGATACTCAACAGTGAGACTTCGTAAAGCAAGTTCAAGCATGTTTGAAATTCAGTAAGAACCGAGGACGTGAAAGAAATGAAGAAGGAGAGTGAGGTGCAGACCAGGCATGGAAAATCATTTACATTCATTTCATGCATTCATTTACATTCATTTGCCTCTAACTTTTTTCATCAACAGCATTCCGCAAAATGATGTACAGAGCTTAAGTAGGTTTTGTTATTAACTACAACTCTGTATCTCTTATGCATCACGAATTAGAGCGGGCAAAACTTGTTACTGTTTTTCAGTGAATGTAAAATACATTCACTGAAAAACAGTAGTGGATTTTGTTCGCTCTGGTTCGTCATGCATAAGAGATACGGATTTGAGTTGTTAACAAAAGTAGCTAATAACAAAACCTACAAAAGCTCCATACATTATTTTGTGGAATTCTGTTGATGAAAAAAGTTAGGGGCAAATGAATCTAAATAAATGCACGAAATGAATGCAAATGATTTTCCATGCCTGTGCAGAACCATGCAGGACCCCGTAGTTTACCGCTGGAAAATCATCCACGGCGTGGTCAGACCCCGTAGTGTCCGTCATTCGGCATACGGCGTGGTTAGACACGGAGCATCTTCCGATACGAAGGTATCCGGGAATACAAACCAACGGCCCATCGACCGTTAGACGCCACGAGTTTAGTGAGGATAGAGAGAGAGAGAGAGATCGAAGAGCCGTCGCGAAAAGTACCGAAGTACGCGCCCGGCTTGCGAACCAAGTCGAGGGTTCAAAGTCGAAGGAAAGGAACCGACTGGACTGTGAAAAGTGCCCAGAAGGAACCAGAGGAAAGTGAAGGAGTGGCTGTGGAAGGACCAACAGCGGGCCTGCGCTGAAGAACAAGAAAAACCTTAAGCGAAACGAGGTAGGAACTAGCCAATAAGAAAGTGGGACTAAAGTGGGAAGAATAAAGGTACCTGGAGCTAAACAAGTGTTGTGTGTGTTGAATATTTGAGCGCTTCCTTGGCCGCGATATTCGAGCGCGCATGCCGACCCTGAGGTTGTGTAGAGGGGGGTCTCATTAGTGCTGGGCAGGGAGTACCCCATCCCAAGTAACATTGAAAGTTTTATCGAGTTTTTATAGTATTCTACAAGTCTAAATCAGGATCTACAGAACCCTCATAAAACCCAAATTGATACTTGGGCTGTTACAAAACTGTGAAAGTGCTTAAATTAACGCTGAAGACAGGCATTAAGTTCCAGTTAAGACGTAAAATTGACGATAAATTGATAAGTTGACATATTGAAATTCATCATTATTCACCACAGTGTAGGCAAACTGATGAGTAGAAAATAACATTGCACTGGCGTAAAAAGTTACTTCACTCGAGAGCGAGACTAAACCTTCTCGAGAATTGTCTCCAGCGCCATCTCTGGGCAGAGGGCCACCTTACCTAAAACTGAAAATCACTTGAGAGAACTTTGGTGCCTCGCCGCCAAAAAGTCATGTCAATTTCGGTGCTCTGAGAGCGGCATATGTAAGTGGGCATTATGAAAGTTCAGTTCAGTTAAAACAGGGTGTCGACCACTTGAAAAAAAAACCTGGAAAATGAGTGAATATCAGGGAATTTATTTTAAGACCTCGAAAATCAGGGAATTTCATTCAAATTCAGGGAAATCTTTCTTAGTCACAGACAGTTATTAAAAAGTATGACTGACTTCGCCAGTTTTAAGCAACTTAATTACTCGGTGTATGATGGTTGTTTATGTCAAATTTTATACAGAGATGTGAACTTGTGGTTGCTCAATGCTTAATGTTGCATTTTCGCAAATTGAGCAAAAATTACTCAAATAAAAGGATAATTTGTTGTGTTTGGGCCTAACCATCAAATAGGTATGTGCGACTCTTAACACTCCGAACACGAAGTCTCCGGTTAAAATGTGTAACGGAAAACTTGCAATGTTTGAAAAATCATAGCTCTGCCATTAATTGGAGAATTTCAAATTTATTGATGCCATTTGAAATTACAGACTTCGTTTAAAGATTCATTCGGTTTCAATAGATTTAAAATCTTATGATAAATTGCTGAGCAATGATTTTTCAAACATTGCCAAATTGGAGTTATAAATTTACCGAAGGTATCGTGTTCGGAATGCTAAGGTATGTTACACCTAATTGTGTCTGACAAAATTTAACCTTCGAGTAGATTGATGCGTCTGCTCGATCCAGCTGTGTCCAACAAAAAGTCAATCCTTTGAGCACATAGGTGCGCCTTTGAGTAAATTCAAGAATAGCAAAGCTTGAGAATTCTCGGTCTGCATTGTAAATCTGGTCAGCTCGGAAAATAAGCTTCTCAGTGAAGATTTAGTATTGTGATGTTGCTGCTAATTGAGGTTGAGATGGAATTAACTAACAAGTTTTTACGATTTCCGACCAAAAGAATCCGTCCGCGTTTGGTTAATGTGCAGACTTCTAATATATACTCGACACTAACTTCTAATATATACTCGACACTCGAGTATTAGTACAAGACACTGAAGAAGTCTGCACATTGTAGACGAAATACGCGTATCTGTCAAGGATAAGCAAATAAAGTAGTGGAATTAAATGGAAAATACTAATCCTTCTCTCTCTCATTATACAGGTATTCCACTAAGACGCCCACATTCATCAGGATATAAAAAGGTGCTAAAAGGATATGATTAAAGACACATGTTCATATGTAATATGTAGGAAAACTGGATGAATTACTGTTCCTAGCGTTGAGTTCGGAAACAGTTAGAACAGGACTTCTAAGTGTGAGAAAATTGCCATGCTAAGGACCTCTTCTCGTATCATGGAGCAAATCGAGGTAAGAAACGGATCTTGAACATGCTGAAAACATTGAGCGATTAAGCATGTCTTTTTTGTAGATTTATATCGAAATTCTTGTAGTTTTCGCCACGCATCGCTATCAATCATATTAACATCCCGGTTACTGCTTGAATTGATTACCTGGCGCTTACCACGTTTAAAATTTGTAAATTTAGAAAATTGCGGTGCCTTCCCGTTTTTGGCTACACGCAATTTTTGTCTTTTTTGAAATCTATAAAATGTATCGAATTCAATTTGAAATTGTACTGAACCACGCTTCATGGGTGGTTTGAGGTCCATGGGGTATTCCATGCATTTTTTTTCCAGAAAAAACTAGTACATATCGGAGGAAAGTAACAACTGATCGTCGCTGAGGTCGTGTTGCCAAAAGCGGGTTAACACTGGGCCTTAAAACGGGTGTCACTTCACGGTGAATACGAAGTGTAGTGACACCTTTTCACTCACGGTGAAGTGTTTTCCATTTGATTTTCCAGGCAATCGCTTCACCGTGAGTGACAAGTGGTCACTTCACTTCGTTTTCATTTTATTTTATTTATTTAATTAAAATCTTCAACATAATGTTGTACAGATATTTTCTAGGCTAGGTGTCGAATTCTATGTCTGTAAGTAGACTTACTAATGTTAAAATCATAAACATCAAACGTTTCATTAAACACACGACAGCACAAAGTCCACGGTTCGTTGAATCCATAGTTGGTCCGATGGGTAGATTGCCACAGAAGCGTGCAGTGTTCGGAAAATAATTCTCAAATCTCATTCATTGAGCCATCCTGCAAGAATAAACTCGCGTGCGAATGCGGCAAACAAAATTCACGCTTGAGATTCTCATGCATATTCACGCACTCGCACTCATAACGCCGAAAAATCATTCCAGCTTTAAACTCATAAAAACCACTCAAACGTCAATTGTTATCATGCCTATGCATGTTGTGTTAGTTTTCCAACCCCTGATCCACAAACAATAGTAATAACAACGAATAACGCCAAAATATAAAGCAATGAATTTTTGAACCTGTAAACTCATCGGTGATTTTTGCAACGTTGAATTATGCAAGGCAAAACTCATAGGCGCATAAACTCATGCATGAGATTTGAGTTTTTGAGTTTTTCCGAACACTGGAAGCGTGTAACTACGTAGAACTCTTTGAGGAGCATTGATGTAGATTTGGCTCACAAGAGAGTTGCAATCCACGTCACCGTTAAGCAATCCAAACACGAAGAGTCGCTGAAGTAGTTTCCTCCTTACTGCCAACGTGTCCAGGTCAATCAGCCTGCACCGTTCTTCGTAAGGCGGCAAATTTACCGAATCGTTCCAGGGCAGAACACCTAAAGCGTATCTTACGAAGTTTCGCTGAATGGCCTCGATTCTGTTAGCTTGAATAGCGTGAAAGGGTGCCCACACAACAACAGCATACTCTAGAAGACTGCGGACGAGAGCACAGTATAGTGATTTCAGCGCGTAGATGTCCTGGAATGCGTTTGTGTTTCGTTTCAAGAAACCTAATGTGGCGAATGCTTTAGCAGTTATCATGGAGATGTGCTCATTGAATCTTACTTTAGAGTCGATGATAACACCCAAATCCTTAACTGAAGAAATGAAGAACAATGGATGTAATGTCGGCCTAAATGCCCCTAATTTGGGCCCATACATAAATTCAGCAATCGACTAAATTTTCAATAGCGACCAAGGATATCCATTTGTACCGTCCCAATGACGCGTTCATCTAGATAACATTGATAAATAGCTGATTTTTAGCGATGGGCCCAATCTCAGATCCATTGGCCAACATTAGAGCCATTTCTCCTATCAGGGAATTTGGTTTTCATGATTGAGGCGACACCCTGTTAAAGGAACGAGAAATTCAATTCAATCAAACGCACTTTTCGTCGAATTACGTATGTTTCGTATTCGCAACACGTAATTTCAAATAACATGTTTATTTACGTTCCATGATTGACGTAAAAGATGAATGTGTTTCCGGATTCTAATTAGACCTTGGTCACTTCTGACCACCTAAATAGGGAAAATGGCTCTAATGTTGCCCTATGGACCTAAGATTGGGCCCATCGCTAAAAATCAGCTATTTATCAATGTTATCTAGATGAACGCGTCATTGGGACGGTACAAATGGATATCCTTGGTCGCTATTGAAAATTTAGTCGATTGCTGAATTTATGTATGGGCCCAAATTAGGAGCATTTAGGCCGACATTACATCCATTTCCCCTACTATGAAAAAATCCATGAACTGCATCCAAAGAAGCTCACTTAAGATCACCGATTCTATGCCGATATAACTCGCCAATAACAGTCTTCCATAAACAAAATATGCCGGATTCACGCTGTTTATAAACTTCGTCATCTTTTGCCTCAAAGAGCCATCCTTAATTGATAACAAACCAATCGGGAAAGTAAACTGGGAATTGCACAAGTAGATTGAAACTCCGATAGGATTAATCACAGTTCAGCGCATGCACATTAGCAACAAATTGATTGCCTATAAGCGACTATAAAACGATTTTGCTATTCAATGCAATCCACAGCTCACATGCTAAGTGATATTCACATAACTATAATAACAACATAATAAAATGAAATTCGTCGCTGTCTTAGCACTTATCGCCAGCGCAATCGCTGCCGTGTGTTGTGCACCGCAGTTTGGATCCGGTGCAGGAGCTGCATCCCAAGGAGTCGCAATGGGAGGCTTCCCTGGCATAGCAGGAGGCACAGGTGCCACAGGTATGGGCATTGGAGGATTCCCCGGCATGGATGGTGGCATGGGACGACCCTTCGGCAGACCGGAAATACAGACGGCATGGGCTCCTGCTGCTCCTGGTGGTGGATAAACCATTGTTGATCTGTTAGACACCCCGGTGTTTTAAGCTCTAGTCGGCGATTGGATGTGTTATGGACGAAAGAATAGATAAGAATTGTGTATCAAACTAAAATAAGGTGCAATGTAATACTGCATGATTTATCACGCTCCTTTTGCATTGCATGACATTTAATGAAAATATACCCTACTTTATCGAACTGTGCATGTATAGTGTACTCATGCGATGTAGCAAATCATTTTTTGCAACTGAAAAGAGTGTCGAAAAGTAGTACTTGGCGGTGCCGGTGGTGTATTTAGCATGTCGACGTCAGGTGTATGTCGGTGGTGATGTCAAATTACCGTAGGATCTTGGTTTTTGTGTTAGGGATGGTTATTTTCACGCGTTTTCTATGGTGAAAATTTTCGACTCTTTCCTACGGTAGCCGTCCGATTTTCGTTTCAAAAAGTAGAAGGGTCTGTGCCTAAGGGCACGAACGGAAGCAGACGTAGGACCGCTAGTGGACGGAACAAATGTGAAGAGCATTTAGTTCTTTTAATTGATCGATCATCTATTATCGTAACTCTTTCCGTTTTTGAATTAAAGGCGTACCGAATTTGTAGTAATTTTTATCAAAGAGAAAGTTGATGAAGAGAATCGATCAAAATCACTTGCACCCCTGCTTCCAAGTTTGGTTACAAGATTACAACTCTGGAGAATCCTGATGAATATGGGCGTCTTAGTGGAATACCTGTATAATGAGAGAGAGAAGGATTAGTATTTTCCATTTAATTCCACTACTTTATTTGCTTATCCTTGACAGATACGCGTATTTCATCTACAATGTGCAGACTTCTTCAGTTGTCTTGTACTAATACTCGACTATAGGATAAGCAAATAAAGTAGTGGAATTAAATGGAAAATACTAATCCTTCTCTCTCTCATTAAACTCTGGAGAGCATTTTGTGTGGTCGTTGGGGGCGTGTGGTTCTAAATATGGACACACAGGCACAGATAAATTCTATTCCAACTCTTTGCGGCAATAAACTTGTTGGCCCTGAAAAGGGCCATTTTGTTGTCAAAATTGGTGATGATTTAACCTCCGAAACCGTACCAAGTACGTCGCTTCAAACGTAGACGACATCCATGGCTGCTTACACTTGGCGTGTTCAGAGTAGGTGACAGCATCACGGATCACATTTTCCAAGAACACCTTCAGCAAACCTCGTGTTTTCTCGTAGATCATACCGGAGATACGTTTGACACCGCCACGGCGAGCCAGACGACGGATGGCGTTTATCACGAAGAATCTTCCGATGACGCTTGGCGCCTTCTTTACCGAGACCTTTTCCTCCTTTGCCAGTCATTTTTGCTTGTTAGGTCGAAGAGTGCACTACCTAACCTGCCACCACCTTCCTACTGCTGCCTGCTCACTGTAACTAGTGTAACTCTACTGTCTGTTCCCGGTAAGTTCTAGAGACCTCTCGAGCTGGGTCTCAAGGTCGGCTTACTACTGGGCAATCGGTTGGGCTACGCGACCAAACGTGCAGAATACTGTCAAATGATTAACGTTATGGAACAAATGCAACTGTGGTTCAAGGTGGAAACAATTTATTGAGGACAACTATTGTTTGAGAGGGTTGGTTTATACTACTAGTATTGTGGGTGTGGGTGTAAAGTGGGTGTTTTATTCTTGAAAAACGTACCGGTACTGCTGATGAGGATGACTGATGCTGAAGATGGACGGCTTCGGCGACGTTGGACGGGCGCTCGCTGGACTCACTGTGCTACGAATTCTGCCAGATTCGGTGTGGCGATCGTGGTCAAAATTGGCTGAGTGGCGGTGTGAGGAAGCGGTTTCGTTGGCGCATGAAACTACTATAGGTCCTCCCAGGCCCAGGCGTCTTCCCTCATAGACTTACATCGGCAGAGCCCAGGCAAGGCCGGAGTGACTCTACCGAGAGGGGAACGTCTCCTTGGCGGTTAGGGAGGGTTCCCGAGACAAATTCCTTCTAGCCGATTATTTGTGGTCTGGCTTGAGGAAGGCTAGTTCCTTTGCTTTTAGACCTAGCGGCCCCTAGAGACTACTAAGCCGAATCACGTGCGCGTCGGTTGATCTTGTCAACGGACAAAAGGGCGGTGTGTACCAAACGGTAATACAAAAGGTCCTGAATTGAGCTGTGGTGCAGCAAACTGTCACACTCGAATATTACCACTCACTACTGGCTATTTCAAGCACTTTAACTGTTCAACACCTTTCACCCGTGAACGCAAACAATTCCCTACTAACAAATTGACAATATTTTAATACATAATCTTCTAATAATCCTACTAACCAACACCAAATAACTTATAAAAACGTGACAGTACATTAAACAATTAAGCACGAATTAAAAATCATACAAATCTTGTAACAAACGGTTACATCACCGAAGCGAAAATGAGTTGAGGTTGGACAGCAGCGCTCTTTTATATATTTTCAGGTTCAAGCAGAATAATGTGCAACCAAGTGGTACTCGATTATGACGACTTATGACGGAAGAACGTTTATTTCACGAAAACAGGGATAAAATTATCAATTTTTATTTGTACATTGGACCATGACATTACCACTTTTTCAATAATTCTTTACTATTGATAAGTAGAAATATTTCTGATCGATTGGTGATAAAATTATTGAAATTGGTCCAGGGGCAGCTGATTTATTAATGTTCAAAATATTTCATAATGTTGTCACATGTTCCATTTTCGGTTTTTATAAAGTATGCCCCCATATAAAAATCACAGACGTAGTCCTAGGTCAAAGTGACATCAAATTCATGAAACCACCAATATTTATATCTAGGTTCATATTAATGGTAGTTTTAAGCATGGAATAGTGGCTCCACTTTGTCGACGGAATTAGGTGGGAAATATATCAGCATGCACTTTTCATCCACCGACCGGATCTTGTTCTTCATGCGCCATTCGTCGAATTTCTTGTAAGCACGTTCATATAGAGCCTTGGACTTATTTGGAAGAAGGCCAGTCTTAGCAGCATCTGCTGCTGGATGTCCGAATCAAAATCGCTCATCTTCTGATCTTGATTATTTATGACAGTCATATTTCACGACCTACTTGATCGGATAGTTTGGTTTTCAACATGAACGTTCATATCCAGTTGCATTTTATGCAGGCAAAAAAAAATAATCTCAAACGATATTTTTCGACGATGCAAAAAATGATGTATGCTACTCGATCTTTTCAGCGCTCGTCGTAATTATCTAAAAATAATTTAATGAAAATTTAATCAGATTGAAAAAGACTAAGAAATCGGTAGGATACATGCAGCGATGTGTTTTGATGGGTAAATTCAGTGAAATTAACATTTAAATTTTGGCTGCCGAAAACAGTAAATGGGTGCCCAAACCGTAGTTTACCCTATTTCTTTAAATTCTCTTTAAATCCTCCTTAAAATTCACCTTCTAACCAAATCGATAAAAACTGGGAATTAACCGGGAATTGGATTCTATGTCAGAATCTTCTGACCCAGATTTTTTAGGAAATAATAATCTAAGTTCACTGTGAAAACTCCTCTATGAAATCTTTTCGGGAATCTCTTTAAATTCTTTCAAAATCCTTATAAATGCTTGTAGCAATTTCCTTAAACTATCTTCGGCGAAGTATTTTTTCAGTTATATTCAGCATTAGATTCGCTTGGAGTTATTACCGATATCCCATCACACCGAAAAAACACTGAGACGTAAATCAATAAAATATTTACCAACTAATTTTACACGTGACAGAATCCATCTTTGACATAAAGTATGAGACGTAAACAAGCATGTCATGTAAAATTAAGTGCTCCGAGACTGAATAGTTCGTTACTCGACGAAAGTAGGTTTTGGCTCAATTTTATGTCAAAATTTACGCTCGTATATGTCAGTCCCAGGGCACCTAAATTTACATGATTTTTTCTAAGTGTAAGTCTTTCTAACCACGTTTCGTAAACACAGAAATTATTAAAAACTGTTTAAGTTGCGTTATGTGATAGTGTCATCAGCGATAGAATAATTGTTTTTTTTCAGAATTATCGAAGTGTATAATTTTACGTATTTATTATTATTATTTACATTCGGCTAGCTATCTAATTTGAACATCTGAAGGACTCTGCCAAACGAACGAAGGTTTATCCACCGAATCCTTGACCCATTCCTTGGGCTCCTGCATTCGCCATCGATGATCCCATTCCGCCGAAAGGTCCTCCCATGCCCATGCCTTGGGCACCAGCATTAGCGTTCGAAGCACTCATGCCACCGCCCATACCGGGGAATCCTCCCATGCCCGTGCTCTGGGCACCAGCATTAGCGTTGGAAGCACTCATACCGCCTCCCATGCCAGGAAAGCCTCCCATTCCCATTCCTTGGGACGCAGCTTGGGCTCCTGCACCGGACGTTCCGAAACCAAACTGCGGCGCACAACTCACGGCAGCGATGGCACTGGCGATAAGAGCGAAAACAGCGAAGAATTTCATTTTGTATGGATTTATAATTTTGAAACTATCACTTAGTGTATGAACTGTGGATTGCACTGAATCGCGATTGACTTTGATACTCCAGTTGGAAAAGGATCGATCATTTATAGTCGTTTGAACTGCATGAGTTTATTGATGATGTGCTATCAATACAGTCGGTGGATCGTACTAATGGTAACATCGGAATTCCCATGCTATTTTCCTGCATTCACTCGTTATCAATCAGTCTCACATGCATCTCTTTACGGGGGAATTTCCAACGGTGTAGCCTAGAAATTATGTTGATGCATGTTTAGGAATTCCCCGAAGAGTGATGTAGATAATTTAATCTTTGCACTACCATTCTCCTGCGGGTTTCTAGTCAATAGAATGGATTTTTTGTATGTGATTAGTGTAATCTAATATGATGTACCAGTCATTGTTAGGAAAATCATTCTCAAATCCCATTCATTGAGTCGCGTGCAGATTGGCAAACAAATCTCACGAAAATATACCAACAGCCGTATATGAGATCAACGAGCTTGCAACTCGGAGGTGATCATATGAGAAATATCACAAATAAGAGAGGTAAAACATCGAGATAGCATGAAAAATGGTGAGACATGTGCATTTCACATGTCATCAAATTCCAGAACCGTTTAGTTATATCCAAATTTGAAGAGGCATAAATTGCAAGACCACACTAGTGGCACCTTGTTTCTTTAAAATATTTTCCCAGGCTATCGAACCGCACAAAGTGGAATTGTTCCAACCGAACGTTGCCTAACATAACAATGGTCCTTGAATCGTTTTCTTCAAATAGTTCTTGCACAACAATCATGGTACATGTTTAAATTTGGTGGCACCGAGAAAACATGGCGTGTGTCTTAGAAGCTCGTTTCATTGTTGTAATAATAAAAAATTCTTCTTCAACATTTCAAAAGGGCGAAACTGGTTTCGTAGACAATTGATTTAGCCATAGATTTCTCGCGAATAGAAGCTGCTGTGCTACTACAAACAGGGAGTAGCAATTTCAAATTTGTATGTTTTGTGGAAGCTGACATTTGAACCTTTAAAGTTTCGCGCTAAGGCTTCCTTAGAGTATCACCATAGAGGCAACTCTAAGACCAGAAGGTCCTGAAGAAACGTGCTCAACTTTTTAGCTCAGCTCTGGTACTATTTTCGGTCCCAAGCTAATCGATGCATCCCTCGAAACATAGGAAAATCCACGAACCCCTCATTGTATCTGTCAAACTTTCATAGCGAATCAAAACAAACATAGTGTAGTACTAGAATTTCGACTAGAATGGGGTACGTTAATCGATTTGCTTGGTACCAATAGGCTAGTCAAGTAGTGAGCCAATTTAAAATCGTAAGTTTCCACCAGTTGGTATCACCTTAACGTACCCCATTCTAGTCGAAATTCTAGTACTACACTATGTTTGTTTTGATTTGCTATGAAAGTTTGACAGATAAAATGGGGGCTTCGTGGATTTTCCTATGTTTCGATTAGCTTGGGACCGAAAAGAGTACCAGAGCTGAGCCAAAAAGTTGAGCACGTTTCTTCGGGACCTTCTGGTCTTAGAGTTACCTCTATGGTTTTATCACTTCTGCAGGCACTCTTTCTGGTAAATCTCCTTGTTGACTGTGCCTGTAGTGACGAAAGATTTACTTTTTCGACCAGACGTGCAATTTGCTTGCTAAATAAGTTTTTTTTTTTTGGGAAATTTCGGTGCCTTCTTCGTTCTGAAATACTCAGCTGTAGCATTTTTGGCCATAGCAGAATAGAAAGCCGACCCTGGAATCTGCTTGAAATGCTCCAGGATATAAGTTTCATCGCCCATAACAACACATGAAATCTTCGCCAAATATTCGCAGTACAAACGTCGAGTCCGTGGTTTTGCTGTCAATTTCTTTTTCTCGTTGCGATTTCTGTTTTTACCTTCAATACCAAACGCTGTTTTGATTTTTGGACAAAACCAGGTGACATTCCTATTTTACGAGCCACCGTACGAACAGAGAGATTCGGGTTTTCTCTCAATATCCTCTTCACCTTTCAGTCCATGACAGGATCAGCACGTCCAATATTTTTATCATTTCTCGATTTCCTCTCGTTCGTCCAACGTTCCGAAAATGATTTGAGCACACCGTGAACAGTGGATCCAATTTTTTTGCAAGTTCCTGTATTGACAAGTCAGAATTTGCATTTCGTCCATACAAAACCACTCGCGCATGTGTTTTTTTTCATTCGCTGCCATCTTGAACACTAAGCTGGGAATGTAAACACCAATCATAGTCTTTTTCATCGATGACTCCCAGCTGTACCTCAGCGAATTTTTTCACTCGTACGTGCAATATTTCAAAAGTTACAGTGATTGGAAGGTGTCCGGATTAATATGGATCAAGAATTTTGGGTATTTTTTTTATACACCGGTCAAGCAGTTTCGAGGTTATTTTTTTATTTTTATTGATTTTTATGAAAGTCTACTTTTCTTAATGTTCTAAACTAGAAGAAACAATGTCGAGAATTTATATAATATCGACATTTAATCTATAGCATAATAAGACGTCTTTAGGCACTACAAATTGGCCAAGAGTTCAGAGATTTTTCCTTGACCACAGGGATCTTCATAAAACTTCAAGGACTTCTAAAAAGTTCAGGGAACATCGTAGACATTAGCAAACTCTAGGATAAATTCTGGGAACTTCATAGCGCTTCAGAAAAATTCGAAAAAACTAAGGGAGCTCTGGAAAGTTTTGGGATTTTCATAAAAGTTAATCATTATTTAATTTCAGGGAACCTCATTATTGTTCTTCATATAATTTGTAACCAGTGGTGTGTCTGTCTGTCTAAGATTGTTGAGATTGTCACGAATTTAGTGTTTCGATTTAGGATGCCAGAAAAGGATTCAAATATTACACTGTACACAAACATCATCCTCTGATCGAATGAAACCTCAGACCATTCAAAACAAAAGACCGAAATCGCTTTTTCGAATGATAGCTGCAACCGGATGACGGTTGTTTTGAAATCAGATGATTTTCCTCTCGAATACTGGATGAAACTTGTTATGAGAAGGGATATAGCCTTCAGTTGAAATGCGTAATGCTCTCTGCAGAATGACTGTCATACTAAATGGAAATGCATATGGTATTGGTTCAGCCCCATAACGCAAATCATTCAAAACGATGATGAAAATAATTCTATCGAACGTCATTTGCTGATCTGAGCTGACAAACGAGGTGGAAGCATATGCATCGCTATCAGAGCTGTTACGAACAAAATTAAAGGATGAAAACCAATGTTTGACTAATTCGTCGTGGAGGAGGTTTTCTCCACCACGAAATTTTTTGTATCCATGATGGAATGGCTTATTATGGCTATTCAGTATGGAATTGTACATAATCAAATTATAAATCTAATTAAAAGCACTTGCATGTCACACTATTCTTAAATGTTTGTCCTCTGAGTGCCGTATGTTTTATAGCTAATTTTCAAACGAAAATCATCCTGTATTAGGATGACAGTCATATGGATGTTCATCATCTGACGACGAATTCAACCATAAGGAAATCATTCGAAATTCGAATGCATATTGTTAAAGGGCTCGAGCAATGCAATAATCATTCGAAGTATTGCGGATGTTTTGGTTCAGTGTAGTGCCAATACCGCCCACCACCCACTGGATAGCACGCAACCATTCCACGAAGTTCCGCTACTCACAGCCAGATGCCGCTGACAGCAGCATTGGGAGGCTATCGGGTGGTGATGTAAAGGGGGCCATGATGGGGCGAAATTGGGCTGAAGGAAAATTGATCAACGATCGAGAGCGCAACGAATTCAGCCGCCATCGTTGCTAGCGAATTTCCTGGCAAAAGTCAAAAATTGTAGTCGAAAACAAAGCTAGACAAACCCAAAACGAATATGATACCTATACATTAGACTGATGCAAAATTTGAAATTTTCGCTCCACAGTGCTTAAACAGTTCCAAATTGGGTCCTGCTTAGCCTCCCAAAATTTGAACTACTTTAGTAAGAAACTGACTTGGCACAAACCATTTCAAGTTTATATGGGAATTACTATGGGAAAACTTATGTTTTTGTTCATATATATCTAACAATTCACCACATCACTATGCTTTTAAAAATGATAGCAGTGATTGTAGCAAATTTTCTCTGCTACAACTTTGTTCAAAACTACTTTTCAATCAAATGTAAGGAACAAAAGTTATTAATGATTTAATTCACTGATGTCTTATGATTATGCTCATTCAACTGTTCAGCAAGCAACATTGGTGTTTCTGGTCAGAAGAATAGAGCATAAATATCATGGCTACTATGTCACACTACAGAATACAGTGTTGCCCACAGAACAGCTGCTTGACCATGCCATAAGATTATCAATCTCTTAAACAATTAATAACAATTTAATTTTACATTTGGCTGAAAAACGACATTCCGCAAAGTTGTAGCTTAGAAAATTTTGCATAGTAATTATAGAAATTTTCAAAAAAAGCAGTATGGAAAATGGGTAGAAGGCAATGAACAAAAATTTTGGTTTTCCCATAGTAATTTCCATATAAACTTCGAATAGTTTGTGCCAAGTCAGTTTCCTGCCAAATGAGTTTTTAATTTTGGGAGGCTAATCAGGACCTGATTTGAAACCGTTTGAGCACTGTGGAGCGAAAATTTCAAATTTTGCATCAGTCTACTATACATCTATACATAGCGAAAGATCGTTATTCGAAAAGGGAAATAAAGTGATTAGTCTGCACGAGTCTTGAGACGTGAAACTCGATCAGAAGTGAAGGAGGATATAATGAATATAAAATATCCAGGACCCCGTAGTTTGCCGTTAGAATTCATCTACTGCGGTCAAACCCCGTAGTGTTCGTTGTATTCGACCTACTGCGGTCAAACCTCAAAGTTACCGTACAAATACAACCGTATTCCGATCCATGCTAGAATCAGCCGCGTTCACTAGTCCGCGTTCATCGCCATTTTGGATCTGCCTTGAGCGTCGTGGACTTGTTATACCGTTCGCGAACGGCTCGGCAAACGGTACCGTGGAAGCACCCGTAGTAGGAGAGGAGAGTGAAGTGGTAAGAGGTGAGTCGACTGGGCAAACCACAGACAGTCGAAACCGAGGGACGAAGAACAGAAGCAAAAGAAAGGAGAAAGTGAAATTGAAGGTGTAGCGGAACGGAGGAGAAGGGGGGCCTCATCGACGACGGAAGACGAAGGATGAACTAGTGAAGGCTAAGGTAATAAAAGAGACCTGTGTGAAAGTTCATCGGGGTGTGTTAAAAGTATTTAAGTGTTATCTTGGCCGTGACAGTCACACGTGTATGCCGACCTTGAGGCAGTGTAGAGGGGGGTCTCATTAGTGCTGGGCAGGGGAAAACCCCGCCTGTTACAAATTTCAGGATACTTTTTGAAGCCTGATGAGCTTGGAATAGTTCAGTGAATTACGTACAAGGGCAAGAAATTCCATACGTGGAACTTCGCGGAAAATCAACGAGAAACGTTGAAGTGCAGCAAACTTTTAAGAGGATTTGGAAATTTCGTAGCATTTTGAGAAGCTGTATAAAACTTCATATCAGTGCAGGGAACTATGTAGAATATCTAAAAATGTTCCAAAGATCTTCAGAGATCCTCGCTTCAGTTTAGGAAACTTCGTTGCAACTTTCCAGATGTTCAAAAATATTTGTAAATGATGGCATTTTTAGAAGCTGTATAAAACTTCATATAAGTGCAGGAAATTTTGTAGAAGATCTAAAAATAGTTCCAAAGTCTTCAGAGATCTTTGCTTCAGTTTAGGGAACTTCGTTGCAACTTTCCAGATGTTCAAGTAACCAGAAGTAATCGTAAAATTAAGAGAGATGAAAAAATGTGAAATTTGCAATAAATTATGGAACTTCGTAGAAGTTGAGTAAATTTTGTAAAACTTAAGGGAGTTTTGTAGTGATTAAGGGAACGTAGTATGACTTTCAGAATATTCTTTCAGACATACTTCCTGAACAGTAGGTAATGTTCAAAAGATCTCCAGAGTAACGAAGGTGTTAGAAAAGTTCATTGGATATTTTTTTCAAGACTTCTGGTTGATTAAGCTCTGAAGATCTCCCATTCTGGACCACTGTGCATTGTAACAAAGCATATGTATCACAAACTATACGAAGAAAAAAAACAACTCAAAATTGAGATAGAAAGTACTTAAAATTAAGTACTTCTCTAATACTACTGTTTTGGATTCATGTTCTCATTGATAAGTACTTTTAACTTAATTTTGAAGTATAACCAAAACAGTTACTTTTACATCAATGCGCGATTTTAAGTTGTTTTGTGTTTCGGGCTCTTAAAGTATCCAAAATGAAATTTTGCCATTATACTTCGTTTAGGATGAAAAACCGCAAAGTGCGCCATATTTATTTCGGCTATGTCATCTGCCCAAAGTTGCTCGTTCATAAATAGTTAAAAGGGAAATTGGTGAAATTTATATTTAGTGTTGCGAAGAGGAGAAAGGTAAGTTCTAAATGGTTCTAGGTTCTACTCAGTGCTCACACGGCTGTCAACATAAGCAGACCACTCTCGATGTGTGTCACACGATCGTCTGTTTACTCAGCAGCAACCATTATGTTGTCTTCCTCATTGTTCTTCATCAGCAGTTCTTTAAGTCGATGCGTCGTCGACTTTGGAAAGCAACCGTTTAGTGATGAGCGTATGAGTGCTGACCACGTTTTGCGTCCATTGCTGCAATGGAAGTGCTCTGCCCCCTATTGGCGATACTGCCATACAAAGAAAAGGAGGAGGCTTTTTGGATAGCGGAAGATAAAGTGTTTATTGTGTTGCACCTTTTGACTATAGTTTTAAGATATTTTGTATAGTGAACAAGAATCCTCGGCTCTGCACAGTTAATTCGATTGAGCCTTATCAAATACATTAATAAACAAATAAACAAAAATGGTTCTACTGAACAGTCTGTGAGAGATTTCCCGGAAAGTGTCAGAAATTAACCTTAATTGCTTCTTAGGTCCTCGGGCTAAAAAATATCAGATAAGATTCGTGCGAATTTGAGGGCGAAATGGGCTTGGCCAGCTACCGATGACTCCAAAATTGATGATAACCATAAAACAGCATCCGAAGGCAGTGGAAGTATAAAGATAATGACATTTTAGTTTTTCGATCCAGTTTTGCAGGTAGATTAATTTTGCCTCCTTTTTCAATTTATTCCAAAACAACAGAGTAATTAGGCTGAGGTTGATGAGTCTACTACGTTTTCCTCAGGCTTGATGGAGCCTCGCTCGCGAGTTTGAAATGAGCCAAGCGTATCATTTCAGGCATAACATTTGATAACGGCACAAAAGCATTTGTAAACAAACTTTCTAAAGCCCTTTACACGCTAACCAAAGTACGCCCACGCAAACCAATACCACTTTCGGAAAGGTGTAGGTTTGTGTGAGCGTACTTTGGTTCGCGTGTAAAGGACCTTAGAAAGTTTGTTTACAAATACTTTTGTGCCGTTATCAAATGTTAAGCCTGATTTTTCTGTGGAGTAGAATGCCTACTGGCAAATCATTCCACAGAGCTTCAGAGCTTGTGAGTGAAGGGGGATAAAATGAGAGTGAGGTTTGCTGCCATTCATGTTCATGTTTTCTATCACAACATCCTCTCACTGAAGTTCACTCTCCCTCTCTCTCTAGGAGTTTTTGTTTAATTCTTCCATATTCCTACCGCCACTCATTCGAGGTGAGGGCTGGCTAAACTCGCAGGACAAGAGTGTTTTAAAACCTCCAGTGAGTTTGAGAAGTTTCAGCAAGCCTGGTTTTCCTCGAGTACACCAGCCGGAACAAGGGAATGGATCCTACTACCCAACGCAATGGATCTGGTAGTTCGTGTTTTACTACTTTTTCAGGGTTATGGATTGATTTTATTATTATAAGCTCGATTATAAGGATAGATAAAACCAAACATACAACTTATTCTAAGTGCTCAATATTAATATGGAAAGCAATTGAAAAATCCCTTTTTTGATATTATTAAAAGCCGATGTGGAGTAGTTTCTACCCAACATTCACTCTTCCTTAAATAGTAAAATAGCAAAATACTCAAATTTGGATTCTTCGTAAAGAACTCAATTTTGACTGGTTTCACTTAGGTGTCAAGAGTACAAAAGACTTAACTTTGAGTTATTTCATTTCTAGCAACTTAGTTGAACTATGTTTAAAGAACATGGATTTATAGTTTTACGAGAATTCTCTACACCATAGAATTTGGACGATGTAGATCAACAATCAACAAGTTTCAACTTAAATCAACAGGGATCAAGAAAACGGATACTACTTACATAACGTATTACGTAATTTAGAGCGCATTTGTGAACTTGGAACAACACTGTCGATGTTATCAGCCAGAAACTTAACCTTGGACGATCTTTACTGCCTTGTGGCATATACGGCAAATTAATCAGTAGATTTGTTGTTTACAAACTTGCTTTGACAGTCTGATTACACACATTTTCTACCATTTTATTTGTCACTTGTAATTTGTGATTTGAAGGCTAATTTCCATAAATAAAAAAAAGTTCTTAAGCATCTTTCATAAATCTGATCATTTGAAGAATTTGAATGGTTTGTCATCATTGTTTGTAGCTATGATCAAAAATACATGTAAATTTAGTTGTATAAATAATAAATATCGTATATTATCCACGTGTTACATTAACAGGCACGAGTTGTTTCCCCACTGATGCCATCAGCAGTGTTAACACAGAAACACACACCTTAAAATACCAGTCGAATTAAGCTAATAACCGTTGTTACTCCACACCGCAAGCCTATCCACCGATACCTTGTCCCATGCTTTGGGCACCAGCGTTGGCCATCGATCCACCGAATCCACCGAAAGGGGATCCCTGGCCGAAGCTCTGCGCACCAGCGTTAGCAGCTGAAGCACTCATTCCCATGCCTCCATGGGGTCCTCCGTGGCCCATTGACTGCGAATGTGCGTTGGCATGGGCAGCCGATCCCGACATTCCCATGCCATGGGGGTAAAATCCTCCTCCCATTCCCATTCCTTGGGAGGCAGCCTGTGCTCCTGCTCCGGAGGCACCCATTCCAAGCTGTGGGGCACAGCTAACGGTAGCGATAACGCAGGCAATCAGGACAAACACAGCGAACGAATTCATTTTTGTACTTTTAATGTAAGATTACTATCACTTGCTAGAAGCTTGGAAGGTGGATTGAACTAAATGAAGACTGCAATTGACTCTGATGCACCGGTTCGGACTTGATGAATCTTTTATACTGGTTTGTTGTTTTGGAATCATTCGCATTGAAACGATCATGCATCGATCCACGATTGGCACGTTATCAGTGGGATTGCATCAGTATGTGTCGGGGAACTCCCATGTGAATTTACCGTTGGGATTTTTACATCAAATATTTAGTAAACAGTAAATTTTTCTGAGGTGCACTTTCAGATGATAAGAACTCTCTATCATTGCAGGGACTAGTGGACTGGGAATTTTGAGTTACGTGTTGATTGCTGGGGAATGTTTCATATGGTTTATCAAACTGTCTTCGAAGGAATTCCACTACATATTTCACTAAATAATTAATTCCATCATTCGAGCAGATTAAATAGCGTTTTCTACCACATGAGAAATGTTTATTTATAATTTCTCAAAAATATCTACAATTTATCATTTCATTTTCATTTTATTTTTCTTTTTCTGGTACAAGGTTTTCCTAAAACTACTCGACTAAGTTAATTGAACAAACGTGGAAAAGGGTTAAATAGCTTTGAAAATGCTTATTTAGCTATAATTGATCCTACATCAAATAGAAGGATAGTAAAAAAAAAACGATTAGATTTATTCAAAAAGATTTACAAAGAATAACCCTGATAGCAATGGCAAAACTTGATTCAAATAGTCTAGACTTCAAAATTTCAACGAAATATTTCTGGAACTCCCAGTAATTTTGAATCTTGAAATTTGATTGACATGTCTTCTAGATTTTGTAGTTTTTTTAACGATTATCTATCATAATTTTACAAAGGAAGTTAAACACTTCTTTCGCCTATGCAAGCTATGAAGCTGCAGGCATTGAAACTCCTCAAAACAGGTAACAGAACGATCACTGGATCGGTCCTACTACATAACATACATAGACTATAATTTGAGTCTCCATCATAAACAAGGTGATCGATTCTTGCTCTCCCACTGGAGATAATACTAAACTTCCGACGGCAACAGCGGAAAACCGGAACACCGCACCAACGAGTGGAATTCCATTGAACATACACTTGAAAATATCCAAGGGGTATTCAACTCTGCACACCAAAATCTGTGCCAAGAGTTTTGGCAGTGCCGAAAGTTGTGCCAAGCGTTGTGCCGATCATTCCGAAGTAGGCCGAAGTGTATAAATCAAGGTGTCAATATCCCATGAGCTTGGCAACCCTGAAGTTAGACTTTTGTGATTGTGTTTACATTTTCAATTTCTTTAATTCGTGACCATGGTTCATGGCAAATGTTAAGCTTCATTCTCATTAGATTGAAAGCGGAATGGGCAGTGAGGAACCAGAAGCAATAAATCTATTCGACTGGTCCACAAGAAACGGACGGTGGACGAAATTTTCACCTGCTGCCATTAAAATGCTCCCCGACATAATCAAACCCAGAACTCGAACGGTCGAAAGTTCACTCCCACCTTAGAAACAGTTCTGATCGAATCAAAACTACGCAACCTCGAAGACATCACCATCGTATCGCAGATTAGGATGGCCATTTACTTAAGTTCAAGCATATCAAGTTCACGATCCTTGGCAGTGAAAACCATCAAATGTCCCCCCACTTCATATCTGTCATGCCTCGGAAATGATGCACGATCCAGATAAATTTCGCATCTGCAGTTCAACTGTACCCTGTGCACGCCCATGAGATCTTGCCGAACAGCAATTTACTTGGTGTCGTCATGCATCATGGACTTTTGAGATTAAGCAAGGCCGTATAATTGATTGATTGGTAGGCCACCCATCGCACCGGGTTCTTTTGAGACGAACTAGTGCAACAGAAGACTGCAGATTAGATCGTTGATGATGGGGTGTACTCACGGAATAGAATGTAAGTAATTGCATTTTTGATTGCATTGATCTGTTCCTAAAAGTCCTATACTGTTTCGCTAGGGCAATCGTCCAGATCTGATGGAATATTTGGGGTTAATACGTATCGACATCCCCCAATAAGTACTGGGACTTGTATGGACATCCCTATAAAGTCCTGTGGATTTCCCATCGAAGTCCATACCAATTGAAACCAATGACTGGCAAGGATACCTAAGGAAAAACGTAGGAGGAAACGATACAATTTTCATCCCGGAAGACTCTTCGCAAGACCAGGATTCAAGCCTGGCCCCCTATGATGTGGTTTTTTCTTTATCGTTCGTTCTGCATAACAACCTTGTAAAATAAAACAAAAAACTTCCGCAGCTGGCACAATATTGTCGTCGTTCAGAGGATTGTTGTCCATTCAGTTCGCCGATTGCATTTCGCACCGTACCGTCGTATTGGATGATCTTACAGGCATTTGACCAACCGTTGCTGGAGGGAACCCACTTTGGCCATCTTGACTGTCGTATCGACCCGAGATGTTTTTAAGACAGATGGGCAGGAACTCACGGTCTCCCAGTGTTGGTGAGTTCTTTGCCGTTAATGTTCATGAAAAGTTCACAGAAATTCAAAACAAAAATTTTTATCTGCGGATTTGGACAGTTTTTGACCTGTTTCATACGACCGGAAGGTGTATGCTGGTTACAAATGCCGTGCCAAACTGATTTCCTGCGCAGTTAATCAATCTTTGATGTGAATTTCCCTGATAAACACGAGGAGCATTTCTTATAACAAAACTTGCCATAACAAAATGGGCGATTCATTTTAGTAAACAAACTAACACTTCTTCCGACTGTGGTACCTCTCTTAGTCGCCTGGGTATCGACCCTCTCGACCGACCATGGTGTGGAAGAACTCTGTTGGCGTGAAGCTATTGTGGACGAAACCACGAGCTGCTAGAATTTTTGCTATGAATCGGATGAGATAAACTTAGGTTCACTAAGACTTAAGCGAACTAAAACCTTGTTTGAAGGGAACATTAAGGGACACTTACATATATTAAAACTAATTCGAATCAATCCATTAGTTACAGTCAGTAATGATTGGATGGAGACAAAATTCAATTTTAGTCGACTGTTCAATGTGGTACAACCAGACCGCTCTCTCTGGAGTGCGGGAGGACCACAAATCCGCCCAGAATCAGTTGTATTCTTTACTGATGGATCAAAACAAAATGATAAAGTGGGAGCTGGTGTGACAGGTCCTGGTGTTAATATTTCAGTTTCCATGGGTGGATGGCCAACCGTTTTTCAGGCTGAAATTCAAGCCATATTAGAATGCACTATTGTGTGTTTAAAGCGAAAATATAAACATGCAAATCTATGCATCTTTTCTGATAGCCAAGCAGCTTTGAATGCTTTAAAATCATTTACATGTACTTCCAAGTTAGTATGGGAATGCATTCAGTTACTTCAACAGTTGTCTAATAACAATACAGTAAATCTCTACTGGGTGCCAGGACACTGTGGAGTAGAAGGTAATGAAAAGGCTGATGAACTAGCCAGGCAAGGATCATCCAAACAATTTCTAGGACCTGAACCATTCTGTGGGGTCTCTCCAAGCTCCATCAAGATGGAATTAAGGAACTGGAAAAAGATGATGATAGATTGTAATTGGAATAATACTGTCACAGCCCGACAATCAAGAAAGTTTGTGATGCCAAATGCATCAAACACCCAAAAACTCCTTAGCCTCTCAAAGAAAGACCTATTTACTTACATAGGACTAATTACAGGGCACTGTCCAGCCAAATATCATCTAAGACTAATTAAAAAAGTTGATGATGATATTTGTCGGTTTTGTAACGAGGAAACAGAAACCTCCGAACATTTATTGTGCAACTGTGCAGCACTTCTTAACAGAAGGGAAAAGTTCTTTGATAAGGGACTACTACAGCCCTTTGAAATATGGTGTTCATCTCCTAGTAAGGTAGTGCGTTTCATACGACACATAATTCCTTGCTGGGAATATACCTAAAGTTAGGCGTTGATGGTTACTTCTAATAGTAGTTTTTCACCCTAATAAGGTTAACAAAAAACCGGGGAATATACTACAATAGATCAAATAAATGGTCGCAGTGGTAATGTACCCAACAAAAAAAAAAAAAAAAAAAAAAAAAAAAAAAAAAAAAAAAAAAAAAAAAAAACTTAGGTTCATAGCGTAGACAGATACAGGCAACACTCACAGCATTTTTCTTTGGAATCCGAACCCAATGCAGTAAACAAAGAAGTCACCTTAGCAACGATTGGAAAAAAACGTCAACTCTCGACAGTGGTGCCGTTTAATATTATGTAGGTTGTATCCTACTTGTCAACGTTTGTCCAAAAGTGCCGAATAGTGTGCCATGCTGTGTTTCGGCACAGTGTGCAGAGTTGATTACCCCTTGGAAATATCCTTCGTTTATCCATAAGATTCTGCAGTCGCTCACTTTTCTAAAATATGTTATCGAGTGGCAGAGCCTCCAGCTAAAAATTGAAAAAAAAACGAGATGAAAAGGTGAACAATTTGACCACACTTTGTTCGTGTCCGTTTAGAAGCAGGACACACTTGGATCGCAAGGATCCCACGTGTTTTTTTCATTCGTCAGTTCCAAATTCGTTCAGATTTAAACTTGATGCCAGTTCCTAAAGTATGAAATCGAACTTTTTGCCAGTGTGAACCTCACTGACGTTTGTCGGAAACTAAGCAGACCCAATCTTGATACCCGATCCAGGTTGGGACTGAATAATAAACGAATTAGCTATTAGATAGTTCACTGAAATTAATATTTCATTCATGAATCCCATGTTAATCCAACTGATGAATGCCTACAAACAAAAAAACCTGGCGATCCGCACCAGTTCATGAAAGTCGTGGATGGTCCCTTGCGAAACCACGCGGTTCAAAGGTTTTTCAAAATACGGTTTAGATTAAATGTTCTAATTTCGTCGTCACGCTGGTTCTTGATTATATATATAAAAAATATTTCAGGATTCATAAAAAAATCTGGAAATAAATTTTCTTGTACTCTCGAAAACTTTTCACGTGATATCAATTTTCATCAAGTTTAAGAAAATATATCTAGAACAACTGGCTACATTTGGCTAAGGATGAAAAAAAATACAGTTCTGAT